AAAAAAAGCATAACAAGGCAAATACTCAATATTTTATTGTGACATTCATACAAGACATGAGGCAAGACTGCCCCCACATTCACTCTACTGTGATCGCCCCAACCACACACACTGTCATTTCATGAAGTATTTAATCTAGTAAACTTCAAAACACAAAAAAATTGCATGAAAATGCAAAAATTCAATATTAAACTTCGACATTTATTCAAGATGTAACACAAGACTGCCCATGTAGTTACACTGAACATTGCAAAATATACTACCTGTCGGAAATGTAGAAAATCAATAAGTTACAGGTTAGGTTCCTACCTAAATTTTTTACCTGTCCAAAATCAAATGTCAAACTATTTAAAAAACTGAACAGATAAAGAAAAATCACTGTTATCTGCATTTGGCACAATTCAAAAGAACGTGTTTACATTTGGGTTCTGTGTGCCGCCATTTTGGAACACGACAGTAACTTGATAGAAGATTCAGTGAAACCGATACTTAAACACTACTTTGGTATATAAAACATAGCTTGAGAATATACTTTATCGTTCTGTCAAGTGCATCAGTAAAATTATCAACATATCAGCGTATAAACGTATGTTCATCTTACCTGTCTCTATGCCTGCTTCTCCCGCCATATCTGAGTAGGCCGCCGCTTCAGGTTTTGAAAACGAGGCCAAATCTAAAGTTCTCCAAAATAACCGTCATATGAGCCGGTGGCTCCCGGGCTGTGTGAAATGCCCGAGTTCATGTCACACGTCCATTGACCGTCTGCTGACAAATTGCAATGCCTAATTTACACATCCCAAATCAAGGACGTAGAAAATTTCCGAGAAAAATTATTCAAGATGTGAAGTAACCAGTCTCTGACCTTTTTTCTTTAACAGTTTGGCTGGATTTTTATGGATTTTCTTCAAGATTACTGTCACACTAGCTGAGACTGCCATATTCGACTTCCTATAAGACTGGTCTTTCTCTGAAATCGCTCTAAGGAGCTTTGTTTTAAGCCATATGCTTATTGATGTATTTCCAAAGGGAAAGGAACCCAGCTTTGGTGATGAATTGACCGAGCTTGAGTTCAGCAACCAGTTGTGCTGTTTTTCAGTTTGGATTCACAATATAGGATCAAGGGGATTTGGGTGGAGACTTGTCTGTCCTCTAGCTTTTCCGGTACCCGTTTTATCCTGCTCCACCCACCCATCCACCCACCCACAAAAGAAATGAGGGGAAAATGACCACTTTAACTAATTTGAAACTAAAAAGAAAGAAAAAAGAAACGTAAATAAAACATAATTAAAGACTTGGGTGAAGGGAGCATATAATTGAATGTAAGAAAAAAAATTGCGTAAAACATAATGTACTTAACAAGATAATTGAAGACCCTTGGGGGGGGGGGATAAAGAATAAAATTGTTCTCTGGGATGAAGCTGAGGTAAGATACTGTCATATTATTGAACCATCATCAATGATGCAGACAGATGCTGGTCACTGAAACATTTTTGGTCTCTTCTATGGCAGACATCAAAATCACACGGGTAAGGCTTTCTTTGAGATGTGGCATGCTAAGTAAGGCAGACACAGCACAAGTGGGAATGCTCCTGAACCAGTTTGATGCAAGCTTCTCCATTTCATACGAATTCTTAGAAAATAATGATATCTGATAGTCTATTTCTAGAAGCCAATGCAGTGCACATCCGCTGAGTTCGTGAAGTTCATTTGGTGATGTCCTCGCCTTGGAGACATTCAGTGAACTTCTCAGACTCTGTTAATGGAAAATTAGATTGTTCTTTTTGATCATATATTCTGTTGCTAGGAGTTGTCATGTCCTTCTTATTGCTGGTTTTCCTAGAAGACCATAGTTCCTTCTGTCTGTATTGTTTATCTGTATTATCTGTATTCTGCTTCTCTTGTTATAATCTTGGGTCTGTGACAATCATGTATTGTAATGTTCACCACAGGTCTAAAACGAACTGTCTCTTTTTACCTCTAGCAAGGAGGTTTTGTTTTTGCCAGTGTTGGTTTGTGCATGACTTTGTATCTTAGAATCATGTAGAAAAAATATGTGGATTTTGGGGAACTTTTCAGGAAAGGAACAAAATGATATTTTTTTCAAGGGGTGAACTTTTCGATGCGCTCTTTGCTCAGCAGAGATGCCTCCTGGCCTGCCATTATCGGACGCACCGCGAACTGTGGGATCATGTGATTAAGGAAACATTACATATTGTTGTTTTTTCTGATAGTAATGGATAATGGTGACCACGTTAATCAATCAGACTAACTATAACTGTGTACATTTTTGTTGACTTCGCTGGGGGCTGCCATTTTTGTTTGTTTCTGGCTACCGGCACATGCGCATTGTTGGCATGGCGTGAGCAATCGGCGCTTGCACCCCGCACACGCTGAGACATTTGCCTCAAGAGACCAAAAAAATCAAACACGTGAGAAATTTTGCTCAGCCGCGCGTGAGGCAGAAATCTCACCAAAATAGCCCCGCACACGATGAGAAAACGGCGCGCGCCGAATGCTCACCGTGTGCGGGCCCCTTAAAGTATTATTAGGGGTGGGATAAGTTTCCTTGGCAGAGGTCTTCATGCCCTCAGTGCTCCTCTACTTTGTATAAATTTGAATTTAGTGGTTTATTTCATATTTTACTTAAGTCAAAATGGACTTTTTTGCCATTGGGAATTTTGTTTTTAAGTTCAGACCAACTTTCAGTCAAAAATTATCTTGTGTAGACGCCCCCGTCTGATTGTTTCGACCAGAAGTGATCCATCCTAGT